AACAATGTTTTTAGGTCTTGCTTTGGATTTGAACTTCTTTCTTTCATTTTAGATGCTTTGGATGTTGATTTGGATGGTTTTATTTGGATGTTGTGGATGTTGCGTTTTGGTTTGAACGTATGGAACTTTAAACTTTTGTTATGTCATGCTTTGGTTTTACTTCAAGTTTTTTTGTTACAGATTTACGGGTTTTATGGTATATTTGGTTAGTAACAAGTATGTTCAGGTATATTGTAGTAGTTCGGAACCGGTATCCGAAAGTATTTGTATAATTTTCGGATTTTACATGGAAGTACCAGTACCTAAACTAGAATTCGAAATGTACCGAATCGAATCCGAACCAAAGTTTTTAAATACCCGAACGAAATCTAGAATTCTAGTTCTAAAAATTCTGAACCCGAAAGAACCGATCCGAACGCCCAGAATTAAATAAATCTATTACAAAATCTCTTGAGGGTAGAGATTTATTAAGGAAAGGAATGAGATATCTTATTGGTAATGGAAGAAGCACCAATGCTTGGCTTGATCCATGGCTTCCTACTCACCCGCCAAGACCACCAAGATGCATCGAGGGTATAGACTCAAATGTGGTTTGTGTTAGAGATTTAATGAAAGTGGGCCAACCAGGATGGAACATGGAGCTGTTACAAAATATCATTATGGAAGAGGATATACAGCTCATAAATTCGATCAGATTGAGTCCAATGGAAGCTCCGGACATGCTAGGTTGGTACTATAACGATTCAGGAATTTATACGGTGATATCTGGTTATTGGCTGGCTTCTCATTTACCAGAGTATCAAGAAGAGATCCAACCACCACCAGGCTCTCAAGTGATGAAGGATGCCATTTGGAAAATGAAAACAGCGCCTAAGCTACAACACTTCCTATGGCGAATGTTATCAAAAGCGTTAGCCACGAAAGTCGAGCTTGCTAGATGAGGAATAGCAACGGACACGACCTGCAAAAGATGTCACAGAGAGGAAGAAACCACTGACCATTTGTTTTTTGATTGTGATCATAGTCAGGATATTTGGAGGGAAAATCGACACCTAAGGCAGATCATGTGTAATTCGGCAAAATGTCTTACGACTAAGATCAACGGAATCATTGAGTGCTACAATAATAAGGAGTTATCTCTGCTAGACCGCCAGATACCACTATGGACTCTATGGAGGATTTGGAAGAGCAAAATCAACTTCTCTATGGAGGATTTGGAAGAGTAGAAATCAACTTCTCTATGGAGGATTTGGAAGAGCAGAAATCAACTTCTCTATCAAGATTTGGATAGTACATGGCAACAAGATACCATTAAGGCAATTGATGAAGCAAGAGAATGGGTGACATGCTGGCACGAGGATTCCATTAATAACAATGAACATGGAAGAATTCGGAACCATGCAAGACGGTCGCAATGGCATCGACCACATGAAAGTTTCATTAAGTGCAATTATGACTTCAAGTTTGTTCAAAATGGAAATGATTCACAAGCAGGATGGATAGTGCGTGATTCGGATGGTTTCTTTATAAGAGCGGGTATTAGCAGGGATCTTCATGTTTCATCGGTTTTAGAAGCAGAACTACAAAGCTTGGTAATGGCAATGCAGCACACATGGGCACAAGGAAATATGAGAGTCATCTTTGAAGGAGATAATAATACAATCCAAAAATTGGTCACATGGAAGGATTGCAATTTTAGAGTTCACAATTGGATTCGAGAGATTAATTTCTGGAAGGCAAAGTTTGAAGCTACAAAATTTCAATGGACAAGAAGACACAACAACCAGGCTGCTGATAGGCTAGCAAAGGAACCTATGGGTGATCACACCAACTTTGTCTCCTATTTTTATGTACCTTCTTTCATTGTAAACATCCTCCATGAGGATCACTGTTAACTATGGCTGGGCAAAAAAACCGGACCCGATATCCGAACCGATACCCGGACCAAAAAAACCGGGTTAGGACGGGTTAGGGTATTAGGAAATTACCTCATTGGGTAGAGTATTGGTCTACCCGTGGGTATCGGTTCGGGTCGGGGAATACATGTTACCCATTTAGGGTACCCATAAACTCGAAGCTGATTTAGACATTTGTTTATATATGTATATAGTTATATAGTCATATAGTCATATAGCCCTACCTTTTGAGTTATGACGATTGAGGTAAATTTTTCCCTTGAATTCTCTTTTAGTTCCTTTTTACCAATTACAGTTTCAAAGTTTGATTATAATCTGTTGTTCTTTAACTTGTCAATGTGATGTAGAGTTTGAACATGAATTTCACATCCATGGTTTTGAATGATTAAGGTAAGTAATCATATTCATACGTTGTTTAAACTTTAAACTTTAAACTATGTAACAAAGATTGACATTTGATTGTTTTTTCTTGTGAGGAGAGAAAGATTCAAAACAAAGTCATCAGTCATCACCGGATCTTGTCTGGAGAGAAAGATTCCAACAAGGCTACAATCCTATCTTGTTCTATGTTTTTTATTTTTGAATAATCGGATTTATGAAATTTTGGATTGGATTTACTCTTAACTCTTAAGTAGTCATCTTTATGATTTTGGATTGGATTTAGTCTTTAGATGTCATGTTTGATGTTCTGTTCTTTTCATTTGATCATTTGAGCATGTACAATGATTTAAAACTTCGGGTATTGGAGTCATATTTCGAGTTTATGGGTAATTTTACCCATTTAGATCCAAACCCAATGGAGACCCATAATTTTCGGATTTTTTTCGGTTCTCATGCATATTACCCAAACCGAACCGAATCCAACGATACCCAAACCGGACCAGAACAGAATCTTTAGAAATACCCGAATGGACTATAAGTTCATTACCCATTTAACCCGAACCCGAATGGGTTCCCAAGCCTAGTTAACATTAATGCAATCTAGTCGTTAAAAAAAGGAAAAAAAAAAAAAGTCTATATAAATAAAAGTCACGACGATCCTTAACGCGTAGAATCTTCCATTACTTTACTTTTTAGGACGAACAGAGAATTGGGGGCTAGGGTTTGTAATTGAAGAAAGAGCGAAGAAGATGATCGAGGTGGTGCTCAACGATCGACTAGGGAAAAAAGTTAGGGTTAAGTGTAACGAAGATGACACAATCGGTGATCTGAAGAAGCTTGTTGCGGCACAAACCGGAACACGAGCGGAGAAGATCCGAATTCAGAAGTGGTACAACATCTACAAGGATCATATCACTCTCAAGGACTATGAGATTCATGACGGCATGGGTCTTGAGCTTTACTACAACTAGGTTTTGCATCTCTCTTTCGTTTGCGATTACTTTGGCTATCTTTCGTTTTTGTGTTATGCGATTTCATTGATAAAGAATTTTTGTGTTTGGCTTTAAGTTTGAAATTGAGATGTTGTTGTTAGTTGCAGACCTGTGAATTGCAATATTTTGAGATTTGATTGGAATTTTGGAACCTTGAAAGCCATTATTCTTAAAAGTTTGAAGCTTTTTAGGGTTTGATTTTGTAGTAATTTAAACCCTTAAGAGAGGCCCTAAGCGGATAATTGAGACCTATGTTTTGGCTTAAAGTTTTGATTTCTTTCGGAAATTTTAGTTAGTAGTCAGTCACAACCTGTGAAAAAGGAGAATCCAAAGCTTAAGTTGGAATTTTGGAACAGCCAAAACCCTTTTTCATCAAAACCTCACACTCTTAAAGTTATTTTGTTGTAACTAAACCCTTAAGACACGACATAAGTGAATAATTGACCTATGTGTTGGCTTTAAAGTTTAGGTTTTTGGGAAAATTTAGCAAAATTTAGAGGTTGTAGTTAGTTGCAGACCTGTGAAAAGTATAATTCTAAAGCTTTAGTAGGAATCGTCAAAAGCTATTGTTATAAAAAACCTGAAGCTTCTTAAGGTTTTTGATTTTGTTCCACTGTATCCAAAGCGTAGCTATATATGGTTTGGCTTCTTTAAAGAAGAAAATTGGTTGGTACATCACAAATTAGATTGATAAAAAGCGTTAGGTCGAGTTTCGTGTTCGATTTCCCCATAGAATTAAATCCTCTATTTCTGCTGTCTATTTCCCCATAGAGTAGCCTATATGTTAGCTTAAAGTTATGACTTTCCAGAAATTTTGGCAAAATTTAGACGTTGTAGTTAGTCGCTGACCTGTGAAAAGCAGAGTGCAAAGTTTTTATTGAAATTGTTTCAGAGCATCCAAATCATAGATAGATATGGTTAGGCTTCTTTAGTACAAAGAAGAAAGTTGGTCCACTAAAACTGGACGTTTTGCTTGGAATGATATCGATTGGTTGAATAGATTCTCTATGATCATTCTTCTTCTACTGAAATGTCTTTTGGGTCTTTCCTAATCCTTTGTGTAATTGGAAGGTCTTAAGAGTGACACGGACCTCTTTTTCCTCTCATTCATACATTACCTGGTCTCTACTGGAACATGATTGATAGCTGAAATAAGATTCTAAATATCCTCTCTATGCCTTTCCATATGCAATTTAACTCTCATGTTTTCTGCTTCTTAATCATTTGAGACTTTTTGTTTGTCTCAGTCCATAGTAGTTTGCTATTAAAACTCGAAACATTAACGTAAAGCTGTCGTCACACATTCCATTCATGTTTTTTATGTTACTCATTTGGTAACTTAAGGTAGACAATAGTCAGTGTCAATGAACCTCTGATATGTCTTTTCATGTTCGTTCCCTGCTCTTTCTTGCATCGTCCAATGTGATTTTGATTCAATTTTTCTATCAGCTGAATCGTTATTTGCTTGTTTCATCTGTTCCAGGCTATTCGAAGGAGCTGAGCTGAAGGAATGTTGTTGATTTGGATACCTGCATAAACTCATCTAAACCATGTGGCATCTAAAAAAGACATATGTTGTAAAACCTGATAACTACAAATATGTGGTAACAATGACATTTGACTGCCAATGGTTTTAAAACCCTCCTAAACTGTCTGATTGGTTTCTGGCAATACTTTGCAGCTTGTACAACGTTGGCCTATAATCTCCATGTTGGTACTATAAAAGTCTATATAAGTTGTATTCATGTGCTTTCTCTCCAAATGTTTCTCATCTTCCGAATTACCCCTAATGCTTGGATATCGGTTTTGATTAGATGTGAATCAGAAAAAAAAAAAAAAAAACTTGCTTGCTTCTAAGAAAAGTCAAGAAAAGACAATGAAAGAAAGAAACCCAAAAGACATTTCAACACAAGAAAGTACTATAGTTGTTCATTGAATGTAAGACTGGCCAGTGATGTCAACGTCTCTATCACCGGAAGAAGCTGGTTGCTTGTGCTTTGGCGTCAACGTCTTTACCTCATCAGGTCCGTCTGCGCTTTGTGTTTCGCTGGCCGGTATGTGATGCTGCCGAGGCTCTTTCTCTATATTCTTGGCCTCTTTCTCTAAATTCTTTGCATCTTTCTCGTCGTCATGACCGTAAAGGCCACCTCCGTAAGCTTCGTGCGTCACCGGCTGCATCTGTGAGATATACGGTGGCTGGTGCTGTTGTGGCTCGTACTTATCTCTACTTTCTTCTTTTTTGTGCTCTTCTTCCATTATTACTTTTGTCTTGATGTCGACACTGTTGGTTGTCTATTTGTATCAATAGTGGTTTCAAGACACGTTTACTTACCTCCCACGTGCCATGATCAGAAGACGAACACGTCAAGTGGGCATATGTTTTATTATACTTTAGAGTGAATCTTGCTTGAGATGTGGGCAAAAACTCGTGTTTCCAAGGATCGACAACCAAGTGGACTTGGTCTGGCCAATCGAGAAACCACTACATGTCATACAGACATACAGTTCTAATCCACTTTCATCTTCCGATGAGTTTTTGAATCGTTGTTGTTTAATATTTTTCAATTAATAAAAATCAAATAATGAAAAAGAGCAACTGTTTTATCAAGTGTGGATCAAAATATTTTGCGACGAAATCAATTGCAAAATCTGTATCTCACTAGTCACTTGCAACAAATCTACACTGTTTTTGTCGCATTTTAGCGATTAACGATATGTATTTTGAGCATTTCTAAAGTTATCAATTTGTTCATTTTGTAGGAACGTTTAGTAACTGGTACGAGGCCTATAAGCATAAGTTGTATGCGACTGGTACAAGGCATACATCAATTGTATATGTAAAATGAGCATAAACTCTTGTGAAGATGTTAGTGGATTACTCTGCCTAGGATCACGTGTAGGTGGTCGTACTGTTTTCAGCGAGTTGTGCTTTGATCAGAGCCGGATCAATGAATTTTGGGGTCCCAGTAGAATTAAGAAAAAAATAACATCATAATTTTTATAATATTTAAAATTATAAAGTAAAAATAATCAATTTAAACAAAACTATTATTTAAAAAACCATATTACAATTATATTCTTTAAAAAAATAGTAATAACTTAAATCTTATGAAAACTAATTTTTTTATGGGTTTTTTTCAAAAATTATTCATCAAACTTGTTATTTTTTTCTCATATTTACAACAATTTATATATATGTATAACTAAAAAAATATTTACGTAGAGCCCTTCTAAAATGGGACCCATTAGAATATTTCATCACCATGTGCTCAAGTCCGGCTCTGGCTTTGACAACAAAGAGGAAGAAATGATGACAGCGGCAACATGATGGTATTTTGGGGCACCAAAGTTAAACAAGAAAAATAAACTGTCTCTGAACATGTCAATGTATATTATTAACATACAGTATGTATAGATTGAAGCTAAATGTATTTTACAAACCGATCTTTTACTTTTTTACTTAAGAAACATACAACTCAGCTTGTCCGTCAATGAAAAGGCTCATGAACTCTTCTCCATCCACAGTTTCTTTCTCAATTAGGAGCTGCGCAAGCTTGTGTAGGATATCAATTTGTGTTGTTATGATCTCTTTCGCCCTCACGTACGCCTTCTCCACGAGCTCTCTCACTTCTGCATCAACCACATCCGCTGTTGCCATCGAGTAATCCTTCTGCGATGACATCTGCAAACAAACATAAACAAAACATGTTTTGAGAGATGAAAACATTGATACAAAACATGTATCGAGTTTAGATATATTACACTTTGACCCAAGAAAGGGTTTCCTCCTGCTCCACCAACTGCCACTTGTCCAATCTTTTTGCTGAACCCGAATCTCTCAACCATTTGGCGAGCCACTCGTGACACCTGCATGAAATCGTTTGATGCTCCGGTTGTTACATTCTCGTCTCCAAAGATCACCTCTTCTGCAACCCTACCATAGGCGAAACATAATAAAGATTGTTTAACACTTGGAGTCTAATCTTGTAAATAGAAAACCAGCGCAATTCGGTTGTCAACAAACCTGCCACCAAGTGCAACAGCCATTTGATTCTCAAGGTAGCTTCTGCTATACAATCCAGACTCAAGTCTCTCTTCGCTAGGGGCGAAAAAGGTGAGCCCACCAGCTTGACCACGTGGAATAATCGATATCTTGGCCACTGGATCGTACTCCGGCATAAGTGCACCAACTAAAGCATGCCCAGCCTCTGCAGATTCCAATTTTATTGAACAGTGAGTGGACAACACTAGCAAAAAAGAAAATGGAGAAGCTTGGATCAGTAGTATCTAACCATGATAAGCAACAAGTCTTTTCTTCTCCTCAGAGACAACAGCATTCTTCTTCTCAGGGCCAGCAATGATCCTCTCAAGAGCATCGGATATTTCATCCTTGCTTATCTCCTTAAGCTCACGTCTAGCCGCAAGAATCGCAGCTTCATTCATCAGGTTCTGCAAATCAGCACCAGTGAAACCCGGAGTTCTCCTCGCAACTTTCTCATAATCCACATCCTTCCCAATAGCCTTCCCTCTAGAATGCACCTGCAATAAACCAACACAACATTACTCATCATATTTCTCCATTGTTTAGCATAACCAATCATGGAAAGAAAGTAAACCTGCAGGATCTTGACTCTTCCAGCTACATCAGGCCTATCCACTGTGACTTGCCTGTCAAATCTACCAGGACGCAACAGTGCGGAATCAAGAACATCCGGTCTATTGGTCGCAGCCAACACAATGACACCGGAATTACCAGAAAACCCATCCATCTCAGTCAAAAGCTGATTAATCGTCTGTTCTCTCTCATCATTCCCACCACCCATCCCAGCTCCTCTTTGCCTACCCACAGCATCAATCTCATCAATAAACACAATACAAGGAGCTTTCGACTTCGCCTTCTCAAACAAATCCCTAACTCTAGAAGCACCCACACCAACAAAAAGCTCCACAAACTCCGAAGCAGCACACGAAAAGAACGGCACTCCAGCTTCTCCAGCCACAGCTCTAGCCAAAAGTGTCTTCCCCGTACCCGGTGGACCAACCAACAAACAACCTTTAGGAATCTTAGCACCTAAAGCAGTATACTTATCAGGATTCTTCAAGAAATCAACAACTTCTTGTAACTCAAGCTTAGCTTGATCAGCTCCAGCAACATCCCCAAACGTTACCCCAGTTTCCGGCACTTCCTGAAACTTCGATTTCGACCTACCAAAATCCATAGGACCTCCTAAACCTCCAGGACCACCAGCACCTCCTTGACCTCCCCTAAAGAGATAAAACAACCCTCCAAAAGCAAGCAACGGAAAAAGCAAATTACCAATGAAATCAAACAACCCATTTCCAGATTCTCCTTCCGAAACCGATATATCGACACCATTCATCGCCAAGATATCAATCAAATCCGGATCATTGGGAACAATAACAGTAGCACGACGATTATCAACAGCTGTTAGCTGAAGAACAGAACCATCTTTACTAAATTTCACTCTCTCAACTTTACCTTTCTTCACCGCATTTAGAAACTCACTGTATCGCCACTGCGTTCCATCAGGAAGATCCGATGACTGAGCTTGTGGATTCGGTGCTGTCATCAAAACGTTTTGACCAAACGTCGACAGATTTGGTGATTGAGCTTCAACAGTAACGGTCGGAGCTGGCGGCTGAACCGGTTCGTTAACTGCTAAAGCTTGTGGAGACGTAGATGAGAACAACAGAGCCGCTAACGCAGCTTGCGATGGCAAAGATTTCATTAGCTTCTCCGATTGGTATCTTCTTCGAGAGATGACTGAGAAAGGAAGAGACTTTGTGGTGGTTTTTGGTGTTGGAGCTGAGATTATGATTTGAGAACCGAGGAAATTTGAAGAAAGTAGTAATGGGTTTGAAGATGTGGCCGCCATTGAAGCTCTCTGAAGAATCAAAATTAGATTTTGAAGAAGAAAGCGGTGAAAAAGGAAGGATCTTTGAATTGAGTTTGAAGGAGGTTTTTGTTTCTTCTTCTTCTCTGCAAATTGAGATTTTTTGGAGGAGGATTAAAGAGAAGTCATGAGTTTGAGTGATTGCTTGAGGTTCGTCTACGTGTGTTATCACATATCCAGTCGTGATACTAGCGGATACGCAAGAGTCTCAAATAATAGGAGAAAACTCCTTATTGGGCTGCTTCAAACACTGTGGGCTTTTTTAGTGTTGTGTATAACTTCATGTTGGACCATTAGTGTAAACCAGACGGTATGTTTCAGTTTCAGTTTAAGGTTTGAGCATGACTGCCAAAAAAAAAAAAAATGTATCATGTAATTGCTAATAGAATGTCATATATTATAAGATTTCTATATTATTGGGAAATGCATATATTTCTAAGAAACTAAATCAAATTCCAGGAATTGGAAACAATATGTGCGTCGAAAGACTAAAACTTCGAGTCGATTTTCTTCAATATGTCTATGTACAAATTGAAACACAGTAATATAACAATTTTGAAATTAAGAATTCAAAATTCGTATATTATTTTCTTCAATGTGTTCGTACCCATTCGTTTTAGGCAATTTAATTGTATGAAGCCGTTAGATTTTGAATTCCAATTTCAAATTCGTAATATGTTTTTGATGTTGTGTTAGAGCTAGAACAGATGCTGTTTGTGATTTTCGTTTCTTCACTCTGGGATTGTAATGAAGCAAAACTTTTCAATAACGAAACTAAAGACGATCAAGCTCGATTCACCAACTGTACGTATCGTCCAAAGTAAAGAAGGCCATTGACACAAAACACTGACTATTCTCGGATGGTCAGGACTTATGGATATCCCACCATAGTCAACCACTTTTCCATTGATGTTGCCCCAACTTTAACATCCCCTCGCCATGCTCTACTTCTTGGCAGGCAATTGATACTCTATAGCCTAAAGAGTAATGAAATCCGAAGAAAATAAGGAAATTATTTAATTTTATTTATTTGCACGAGATATGTTTACATACCTTTTATCTTTAATTTTAATGAAAATGACAAAAAAAAAATGAACGAAAAGAAAGGAATGTAGATAAGAATTGAATCAAACAATTATAGTAAATTAGATTAGGTCTCCATATACAAACCATTTACTTCCAAAGAATGTACAAGATTTACTTTGCACTCGTAATTGTTACGATGTTTTGTAGATTATGAAGGTAATACTCTTTAACTATTACATATTTAAGTGAATTTTGAATTAATTATCAAATCTTTATATTGTTGGTACCATAGAAGTCAACGATAAAATTGGTATTGAAGATGTTGGAAAGACGGGGAGTACTTGCGGAATAGAGGGCTCAACGATCCACTATATCTTAGAGAAGTAAACATATTCGATTTGTTCTCTCCAAGAGAGAAAAAGCCAGGAGTAACAGCGTTCAAGCTATTCTGTCTTCAACATGTTAACCCATCAGCAATGTTCCTTAAAGGGATATTTGAATACTTTTAGCAAGGAAGATCAATACAAGGACTCGATATGATTGGTAAATCAGCTAGAAGAGGATATGAGTTGACAATCTATGCGGACGCCTTGATTAGGAGAATCACGAATCTAGGAGATATTAATCTAGATAGAGAGTTTGTCTATAGAATGAGAAGAAGAGTGAACCGTGGGTTTAATTACAAAATAAGTGATGAATTCACAAAAAAAAATTAAAAGCCATAAACTTTGATGATTTTTACAGGTGTAATTGTGGTGGTGTTGAAGCTTGTTTAAAACCTAGTAATGTCCAATAATTACAATTACTTTTTATTTATCAATCGAAGTCTAATTTCAATGTCATACAATTTCTTCCATGTTTCATCACAAAATAACCAAAACAAAATTATTGGTCAATCAGTCTAATTTCCAATGTCAATGAGCAAAACAGAATATTAGTCAACACCAAGATGATAACTACAAGATTATCAATCTTACTCTAATTCCGATGTCATACAATTTCTTCATCAGAAAATAATCAAAACAAAATATTGGTCAACCCAAAATAACTAGAAGAGTACATGGCTCAATCCAAAATAACTAAAAGAGTACATGGCTCAATCCAAACTCAATCCTCATTTGAGATAGACACCACTATCCCATGTCTACTTCTTTCATCCTTAAAAAACTTGTCATAGAAAGAAGACAACTCATCCTTCTCCACATACTCGAGTAAGTCTTTGATTTCAACAGCACGGCCATCTATGCGTTTCACATCATTCACCAAATGGTGAGAAATACCAGAATCATCCGGAATATATGTCCTCCTTCTGTAAGTTTCAAACTCATTGTCTTCAACATTCTCCTACATATAAAGCTTAATTACAAGATAGAACTTCAATTATAAAAATAAACTCAATTATCAGAAAAACAACTTACCAAGAAATGACCAATTGAATCAACATAGGATTCTATTCTTTTTAGCAAAAGTTTAAAATGGTGATTTGCAGAGACAACACATAAATAGAATCCACAGACATCGGACTTGCTATGAACATCGCAACTGATTTCATAGCCAAGTCTCTGGTCATACCTAAAAAAAAAAAAAAAACAGATCCGAGTTAGCATTTGTTAGCATTTTTAGAACAAAACAAACACAATTAATAAAGGTTTAGAGAATAACCTAAGCTCACTGTAAAATTTATCCGCCACCATTGCTTTAAACAAACTCAAGATTATGAAATCCGAAGAAAATAAGGAAATTATTTAATTTCATTTATTTGCACGAGATATGTTTACATACCTTTTATCTTTAATTTTAATGAAAATGACAAAAAAAATGAACGAAAAGAAAGGAATGTAGATAAGAATTGAATCAAACAATTATAGTAAATTAGATTAGGTCTCCATATATAAACCATTTACTTCCAAAGAATGTACAAGATTTACTTTGCACTCGTAATTGGTTACGAGGTTTTGTAGATTATGAAGATAATACTTTTTAACTATTACATATTTAAGTGAATTTTGAATTAATTATCAAATCGTGGAAGCTCCCTTGGCCCATTGGTTGACCAAGGGTTGATTAATGCTTATACACCAAGAGGTCTGGGGTTCGAGTCCCAGATATTGCGATTTATTAACAAATTTGCATATTAATGGAGGCAAGTGTGCAGGAGATCTCCAGCGATGTACAATTATAGCCGTTCGCCAGGATTCTACGCAGAGAAGGAAGTGTCGCCAGGTCGTGGATCATTGAAGGTATTCATCAAGATTATGAAGAAGGAAGTGTAGTCTGTCGTGGATCTAGTAAGGGTCGGAAGGAATTGTCAGTTGTAGAATCGTCTATGTAACAGTTCTCATAATTTGCAATTAATAATAAATCTAGACGACAAAAAAAAAAAGAATTAATTATCAAATCTTTATATTGTTGGTACCATAGAAGTCAACGATAAAATTGGTAATGAAGATGTTGGAAAGACTGGGAGTACTTGCGGAATAGAGGGCTCAAGATCAAGAGATTCAAGCGTTCGGTGAAACATTTGTAATGTGGTATTTCAAAAATGTTCTTTGACACTAACATGGTAATTTGGCAATAAAATAAGGTACAAATTACAATACCAATAGATGAATAAAAATTTTCTTGTCCTTTGCTTATTTTCATTACAATCCATTAACATTTTATTTTGCTTGCGCTTTGGCATTTGCTTGTTTTGATTACAAACCAATAAAAATAGTTTTACATGAAACATATGAAATTGATGCAAAAGATGGAAAGATAAAATAAGTCAATTCACTTAGCCCATCCACAAGACACACCTGATGCATTTCCCTTCAAGAAGTAGCTGGAATGCGTCATTGATCTCCTCGAATTTCATTTCATGTGTCACAAACTTATCCAATTCAAGCTCATTGCTCAAATAGCGTTTTAGAAGAAGAGGAATGTGTGTTTTAGCCTTCAAACCTCCAAACAATGAACCCATCAGAATCTTCCCATGGTGAAGAACATCAAAGGAGTCTAAACATATTTGTGAACCCGGCTTGTCCACCCCTAAAGTTATCGTCTTTCCCCATCCCTAAACGTTGATTGTACCAATAAAAACCGTCAAATGTTTTCCTACTTATTTGTTGTATTTCGAAATCTAGCTCTACTTTGGTTTTAGGTAGAGATCAATGCAACAATACCTGTCTGCAACAAGCATAAGCTTCTTGAACCAAAGAGCTACTTCCAACACACTCGAAACAATAGTCTGCTCCCCCACCAGTCATCTCATTGATCACCTAAACACAAAAGTATAAAAGTTATATGTTTATCTTTTTCGACTGACGTATATATTAGTGCAATTACCTCGCTAACACTCTTTTTCTCGCATGTCATAGAGTTTACAAACTCGGTAATTCCAAAATTCTGGCCTGCAAAAAGTTGATGTTCAAAACAATTATATAATTCATTTTTAATATATAGAAAAATATACAAGGTATAGAGATTTATGCAAAATAACTATTGAATAAAGAAATTCATTAACCAACCAACTTGGAATTTGGCAGGGTTTATATCCACACCAATGATTCTAGAGGCACCACAAAGTCTTGCACCCTCTGCAACCTAGAAACATAATATCCAAACCCTAACCCATTTAAACAACTCATAATATTCAAGACGATTGATTTTTACATGATCATTACTAGAAATTGTAAGTTTACCGCTAATCCGATAGAACCAAGTCCGAAAATCACAACGGTTGATCCTTGTTCAACTTTGGCGGTCTCCCAAGCAGCACCAACACCTAAAACATTATCCTTTAACTCATCAAAATCAAAGAGTAACAAACTTGAATAATTTCCTTTTCAATATTAGTGATTTACCGGTGGAGACTCCACAGCTGAGGAGACAAGCACGACTAGGAGGAATCGAAGAATCGATCTTAACAATGTTAGCGACATCAAGAACGGTGTATTCGCTGAAGCTGGAGACGTTCAAGAAATGAAAGAGAGTTTGGCCATTGAGATCGGTGAATCTGCTGGAATTTTCGTATCTTGGCATCCAAGGCGATACCTTGAAGGGGAATTTACTACATAAATTGCTTTTTTGAGATTTGCAATCAACACATTCACCACAGTCAGGCATGAACGTTGGTAGCACGGTATCTCCTTCTACCACTTCCTTCACATTTTCACCCACACTTTCTACTACTCTGCATAATCAAATTTCACTTACATTAATATTTGTAGTTGTGTTTTTAAAAACGCTTTGAAGTGTAAGTTTGGATTTATTAGGATTTATTATGATTTTTTATTGATTTAGATATCTTGCAATATTCTTTATGCTGGTGTAGTGGTGTGTAAGTTGCTATAGAAAAATGGTTTGATATTAAAAGTTAGAATATACTATAAAAAAATTAAAACAAAAAAAAAGTTGTTAACCAGTTTGTATAACGTAAGTTTCAAAAAGTAACAAAAAATCACATTTCAAAAAAAATTTAATAAGTAATTTATAAAAAGGTCAATTCAAGAAAATGATGAAAGAGTACTTCTGGGTGCAAAGTGTCTTCGGTGGTGTCCTTCTCCTTCTCCCCAAATATACATTTTTTTTTTTGAATAAATTGTTGTTAAGATAATTTTCATGTGAACTCCTACGATAAATTCCTTTCTCTCCTTCAATTTTTTTGCTCCAATATCGTTCTTTTTATTTTTATTTCAATTTTAGGCGAGCCAACAGAAAAGTAGACATTTTGTTTTGTCTTTTGATTCCGATTTGACTTTTTTAATTTCCACTTTATGAGTTTTTGGTTTGCTTCGTTACAATTTTCTTTGGTTTTGGGTTGGTCAGTTTTATTAGAACTGAACCACATAAAAACGTACACGTAATTTGGTTTGGATGGTTATTTTTTTTTTCTTTGAATAATTTTTCGAATCATTCATTCTAGTATTCTACTTGCTAACATTTACATAGACATCTATAATTAGTTAATGAACATAAATCCCTATAAAAACCCTTGTTCAAAAAATCGTTAGGCGTTAGTCGGGCGCTCGAGCTGGGCCTAGCGCCTAGGCGGAAAATCGGGATTAATCGGGGATTAGTTTTATGCATTGTTTTATTTTATTTAATGTTAAAATTAAATAAATATATGTTTTATGCATTAATGTGTTTAATGTAATGTTAAAAAGTAAATATATTATGCTATGTATATAAATATTAAAATAATTGTCAACAAAAAATTAATTTTGGCAAAATTGATCTTGAGGAAACTCTTTTTTTGTGTGTCTAATACAAAATAGTCAATTAGTATATAAATGTAGTATTTAAATTAATGTAGATGTAGTACACAAACCCTCGGGACACAACCGCCGAGATTTGTTAGGCGGTCCAAAAATCGGTTAATGATTAATTAGTCCGATTAGGACATAATCGCGGCGGTTGTGTCCCGAGGAGCGGCTAAGCGCCCGCGTTTTTGAACAGGGATAAAAACTGTCATAAATATATATATGTTTGTGTTGATTGACTAACAATAATGGATGTCTCTAGTCTCTATACATCTAACTTATTCAATGAAAATCTCATAACGTTAGCCGACTAAAAAAGTCCAACAAACCCATTTGTTGTGTAACCTCCCACGTGAGGTTTGAAATGAGGATCTACTAACCGGATGTCATTGAAAATTAGCTCTACGAAAAAGGATAGAGGAAAAAACTGTTTTTTTCACAAAAACAGAGAGAAAGATAGAATCATACCCAAAAAAAAAAAAAAAAAAAAAAAAGATAGAACTAACTGGCAAGGGATTTTATAGTCCAATGGCTCGACCACTTAGTGTTCGTTACTAGTTTACCCTAGTGATGGTGTAAAAATGTTGATTAGTGGGTTCAACGGTAAAAATTCCAAAAAATAAAACTTTGCACAACTTGAAACATTTTTTTGGCTATATCTACCATCTTTCTTTTTCTCCATATCAGGATAATTTTTTTTCCTCTACTTTCTTTTATTTTTCTAATTTTGAGCCTACATAGGAGTACTGACCATTTTACTTTAATTTACCGTTTGGTTTCAATTTAATTTCTGCGGTTTCGGATTTATAAAAGCTAATTAATTTGCAGCCTAACGTTACAATTTACAAATATAATCTCTTTTGTGCAAAATATTGAATATATTGAATAAATAAAAAAGAAAAAGGTTAGAGGATGAGACGTAGACTAACCCTATTGCCTCATGGCCAAGAATCCTCGGAAAGCAGGCTGGAGGAACCTGCGGAAACATGACAAAATTTTGTAAATCTGACTGTTCAGTATCAACGACCACAAAAAAAATTATAAAATATAAAATCAGATTTCATATAATAAATATGAAAATATCTATCTTGGTTTATATAAGTAATGTCAGTAATTGGCAAAAAGACAAAACAAATGCCTGGCAATATTGGACATTGGAGTCTGTTTTGTTTCTTTTACCAAGAATATTTTTTCGTTTTTTAAAATAGTGTGACTTTGTGAGTACTGAGTACCAAAAGAAAAGAACTAACGTTGCAAATCAAAAATTAGACATAAGTTCAGATTTGTTAAGTATCTTTTGGTCAATCCGTGAACCAATTGGGTCAAACTTTGTGTCACGTTAAGAAATAATGTTGGACCTTATCTAAAATCGTTGAATATTAAACCAGTTTTGCAAAGTCTAAATGCTATAACTTATAAATCTGACTGTTCAGTATCAACAACTACAAATTAAAAATAAGTAGATCCGATTACATAAAATAATAAAATATCTATCTTAGTTTTATGTCTATGTCAGTAATTAGCAAAAAAACAAAAAAATGCCTGGCAATATTGAACATTAGTGTCTGTTTCGTTTCTTTAACCAAGAACATTTGGAGTATATTGAATTCAGAAACTCACGTAGAAAATAAAGAATTAATCATAAGTCAATGTTTTGTGTCTTCGATAAATATATCACGACAAGAAAACATATCGGTTTCAGACGGATGTTACGTAAAATATTAAAACCAGTTTTGTGTAAAAAGCCTAAAACGAAGAAGAGAAGAAGAAAGAGTACACTACTTGGAGTTTCCAGAAAGTGACGTCACTGTGACATAGCGCGGTGCAGATGATTCGGATCCGAACCTCGTAAGGCTGCGGCGGCGCCACCATGATTTCTTCCATCACCAACGGCTCTCCGGCCTTCCTACTAACCGCCGCTGCCATAGAAACATAAAGTCAACGCCATTAGTTATAGTCAACGATAAGATACTTAATGAATTTTGAGAAACTTTTCTCTTCACTAACCTTTGCATCGGATCGGCTTACGTGAAGACTTGTTGTCGCCGGAGGAGTTTCCGTTTTCCATCTCAAATCTCTATCTCTTTTTTCTTTGGTGTGTTTTTTTTTTTTTTGAGAGTCCCAATTTGTAAGAGCTTCTCTCTATAAGTGTGTTATCTCTCTCTGTATATAGACTAATTTAGATTACTAGTATATTTGTCGTTTTTAATTACTATTATAAAACTTATTTCTGTATTTTGTGTCTATCTGCGTTCGGTGCATTTGAAACTTCCTATATACACACCAACTAGATGAGGTTTACATAATTGAGATTTTCATAATTTTTCAAATATATATACAATATTCGTCTGTTTTATAAAAAGTATTATTTTATATTTTTCACACATATTAAAAAGTTATTAAATTTTATATTATATCTCTTATCAATACATTAAACAAAATTATCTCTTTTCTTAATAAATTAAAAAAATGGTTAAAAATAAATTTTTATGAAAATACAAAACGACCATCTTTGTGAAACAAAAATAAAACTTTAAAACGGTATTCTTGGTCAAACGGAGTGAATATATATTATCTTATTATTGATAAAAAAAAAAATTTATTGTTTTTTTCTTTGGTAGCTAGACTATATCACCATGGATATTGATATATATTCCTATATTTATTGATCAATTTATCAGATTTACCTATATGTAATATAAACAATTCTATGAATAATTTCATGACGTGTAGTATTTCCTGCAACACTCAAGTTTTTTATTGATGGTATTTACATGTTCCATACCAACAATCGACATTTTTTCACCTCTAACATTCAAATCCACAATAAACGCTAACTCTATAACTTCCAATTTTCATTGCACCATTCAAAGGCCGATGCGGTAAGACAGTGGCCATAAAATATACAAAAGTTTTTGTTTTTTATTAAAAAATAAGCAAATTCTTTAGCTGAAATGGCAAAAACTGTTCTGCGCCTTTTAGTCTGAGTTCGAATCCCACTAATGCTCTCTTATTTGTTTTTTTTCGTGATTTCATATATTAAGTCGTAGGTAAAAATATTAGTCTATTATAGGAGTTGTAAAACCCAAATTTGACATTTGATGACATACAAATTGTTGAACGCATCTTTAATAAAGAAAAAGTGTAGAGTTACACTAACTAATTAACTTTTTGAAAGAAAATTAAATAGAACAATAATATCTTAGTGAGTAGGAATTTTTTAAAATAAGTTAATAAATTATAAAACTATTAAAAATCAACAAAATTACCATTACAATATTTGAAATATTTTACATATCCTTAATTCCTTAAAATAATAATAATTTTCCTACAATTAATTTACATACTTTTTCGTAGGAAAATGGTCGAAAGTTTTCATAGAAATTTCTATCGTCCGAAATATCAATATTTTCCAACCGAATTTCTATTATTTTCCACCTAAGTTTTTAGGGATATAAGTGTCCTAGAAAATTTGTAAGTAATTTTAAACTACTTTCTAATGGCACAAATTTCTTTCTACTTCTACTTTTCGTCCAAATTTCGTAAGTGTAAGAAAATTTTCCAACCAAAGTTTTCGTAGAAAACATTATAGAAATTTGCGATGTTTTTTTTGTAGTTTAGTTAAGACGAGAAAAATTAGTAAAATCGATTTAATATATATAACTAAACATTATACTATGCATAATCATAGGCGAAAATGGTTGATTAAAAATCATGAGAGAGAGGCGATTTCAGAGGCGATTACACATGTTCCTTTTCTCTTCTTCTCTTCAGTGAGCGGTTGTCGCCGGTTACCGGCGGTTTCTTCAGGGGATGATAATTGTAATACGGTTGCAACTTCCACAACCGATCCTTTTGCAAATCTATATAAACTCTGCGAATGTCTCTGGGAAACTTGGGTTGATCAGAGTGAAAACGATTCCTTTCCTTTGTTCATATTGATAATGGCGGATAACATCCGGAGACAATTGCAAGAGATTGCTTTGGGAATTGAAGATGCAACAATCAATCTCCCTGTGGATTTGTGTGAAGAGGCGATCAATGAGACCCGTTTCAGTATGATTGTGAAACCGGTTAACCCGAGGAAACAAAATCTGCGAGCAATGCTCAGTGCCCTGCCATGTCTATGGGGGGTTAGTGAAGAAGTGACAAGCCAGATTCTGGAGAATAGGAAAATTCAATTCCTATTTCAGTCTGAAGAATCAATGTCCTCGATTCTGCGACGAGGGCCTTGGTCATTCAATGACTGGATGTGTGTACTCCGACAATGGAATCCAAACCAGATGGATGAAGATCTGAAGCATATACCCTTCTGGGTTCAAATTAGGGGAATCCCACTCTGTTTCCTCACACAACGAATGATCACTTTCATAGGACAACACCTCGGACACTTCATCGAAACTGACTTCGGTGAAGACAATGATATCATGGTCGACTATGTCCGTGTTCGTCTACTAAGGAATGTTGACACTCCTCTGCGTTTTCAAAGACAATTTCAATTTGGTGGAGAGACCTGCGTGCTCAAGTTTCGATACGAGAAACTCCGAAATTTCTGCTCAAAGTGTGGAATGCTAACTCATGATGCGTTTGAATGCCCTCAGGGAATCAATGCGCCTCTTCCTCCACCGGCGGATGATGATGATGATGATGATGATGATGATCCTAACTACGGTCCAGACGGCCCAGATGGGAACTTGCCAGATGAGACAGAGGAACCAATGAACAGAACTGCTGCAACAAAAGAGGAAGAAGGTGGAAATTAGTCAGCATCTAAGAAGAGAAAGACAGAGTCATCCTCAGCAACAGAGCACTACCCATATGTTCCCCTGATCTGCTGCGAAATGTGTCAAGCATATGCTACCAATGACACTCAACAATGCTACGCAAAACAGAACAGCAAGCAATCCGAAGTACTGGAGATGCACAACTGGTTCTTGGTGAATGCGGGTACAACAAAACAGGGAACAAGCAACAATGGAAGACCTCCACAAACTCCTAATTGTGAAGGCATGGTGGGCTAAAAGCCACCGGAGCTGCGATTAATACATCCTTTTGGAACTGCCGGGGCTTGAAAGGGTCCTTGCTAGTTCGACGCCTCAAGGGAATTAAGGCAACTTATTCCCCGGACTTACTCTTTCTGATCGAAACGAAGAATCCCGATGATATCGTCCGAGATGTAGAAGCCCAATTGGATTATGATTATGTTAAGTGTGTTTCTCCTTTGGGTATTGGTGGTGGGTTAGCCTTATTGTGGAAAAAGACTATTTCAGTTTGTTTTTATGATGTTGATGAAAGAATCATCGATTGTAAGATAAGTAATAAAGATGTTTCTTTCTACTTCTCTTGTGTTTATGGGCATCCAAATCGCAAAAACAGACATGTTCTCTGGAAACTTCTTCAAAGAATCTCACTAAACAGAAATGGTCCTTGGTTATTATGCGGAGACTTTAATGAGATACTCTACCCAAATGAAACAAGAGGTGGTTGTATAAGAGAAAATTGGAGTCTGACTGACTTTATGAATATGGTAAAGTGTTGCAAGATATCTAATCGTCCTTATCAAGGTAGTAACATGACATGGGCTGGGAAAAGGAGATCATATACAGTGGAAAGTTGGTTAGATAGGGCAATGGCAAATGATCAATGCATGGAAAGCTAATTTTCCAGCATCTGAAGTCATCTACCTAGAAATGATGGAATCAGATCATTGCCCAACTATTATCAGAATCCGAAGAACTACTGAACAAGGTCTCCGACCTTTCATGTTTGACACCAGATTGTGCTCAAACATGAAATGATAGCTTTGCAAATCGGAATCTCACATTACAGTAATGTATACGTAATTGCAGGAAAGAGATATCAGCCTGGAAAAGGTCTCACAATACAAATTCTGCCATACGTATCAAGGAATTAATAAAAGAGATCGATGAAGCACACACGGATCCCTCTATATCAGTGGAACAGATTCGCCACCTCCGCAGTGAGCTTTTGAGAGCATATAGGGATGAGAAAATGTTCTGGAAATTAAAGAGCAGGAACCAGTGGCTAAATGAAGGTGATCGTAACACCCAATTTTTTCACGCCTCAACAAAAAACAGGATCACTAGGAATCGACTGACTTCCATTCAAGATGTCTATGGTACGATAATATATGGTAACAAAGACATCGTAGCAGAAGCAATTCGCTATTTCAGTGACTTGTTTTCAGTGGTATAAAAGTAGATGTCCAGAGCTCCCTGAGAAATATACACCCGGTGGTAACTCAAGAAATGAATGAGAGATTGCTCATGAATATCACAACAGAAGAAATCAGAATAGCCCTCTTCTCCATCGGAGCAACACGAGCACCGGGACAAGACGGCTTTAACGCAGCCTTCTTCCAACAGTACTGGAACATAGTGGGAGAAACCATAGTCTCAGAAGTCAAACATTTCTTTACAACATCAGAAATGCAACGAGGGTGGAACCATACAAACCTTTGCTTGATCCCTAAGAATTAGGAACCGAAAACAATGAAAGATTTCCATCTAATCAGCCTCTGTAATGTGATATATAAGATCATCTCGAAGATCTTAGTGAAGCGCTTGAAAACCATACTATCTGGGATTGTCTCCGAGAATCAAGCAGCTTTTATCCCCGGTAGACATATAACAGAAAATGTGTTGATTGACCACGAAGTTTTCCATGCCTTACGGGTCCGAAAAAGATGCTTAAACTCCTACATGGCGGTGAAGACGGACATTAGCAAAGCATATATGACCGTATTGAATGGGAGTTTCGAGAAAAAGCGCTGCAAAAAAAGGATTTGCTCCCAATGGATACGGTGGATCATGGCGTGTGTACGATCGGTATCCTTCTCGGTTTTAACTAATGGAAGCCCTTATGGTTAGTTTGCGGCAAGCTGTAGTTTACGTCAAGGCGATCCACTATCACCCAACCTATTCATTTTGTGTGCAGATGTTCTAAGTTCTCTTATCTCATAAGCAACAAGAGATGGTCGTATCAATCGCATTAACATTAGCAATGGGAGACCTCGAGTCTCGCACCTCCTCTTCAGTGATGACTCCCTATTCTTCCTCAAAGCAGACTACAAAAACAGTAGTAATTTACTGTAAATCTTTAAAAAATATGGTGCTGCTTCGGGTCAACTAATCAACTTAGATAAGTCGTCAATAACCTTCGGTAACAAGGTATACCAAGAAACAAGAGACAGAACAATGCAAACACTGCAAATACCAAACATTGGTGGTGGTGGAAAGTATTTGGGCCTCCCAGAACAGTTCTCAGGAAGGAAAAAAGAGATGCTACAGTATATCTATGACAAAGTCAAAATGAAGATTGATGGATGGCAAACCAAATTCCTCTCTACCGCCGGGAAAGAAACTCTGATCAAAGCAGTGGCTTATGCTATGTCGGTCTATTCAATGAATTGCTTCCAGCTGCCTATGTAGCTTTGTTCGGAAATAGATAGAATGATAGCTCGATTCTGGTGGGGTTCAACCAACGAGAAACGGAAAATGTTTTGGATTCCTTGGAAGAAATTGGTAACATCAAAAAAGATGGAAGGACTAGGATTCCGAGATATCCATCTCTTTAACCAAGCGTTACCTACAAATTAAATCTGGAAATTTGTTCAGAGATCAAGCAGTTTAATTTTTTGGCTTCTAAAGGCTAGGTACTGCAGGGATGGAGATTTTTTCTCCGCAAACAGAGGCACAAAACCTTCGTATGGATGGAATTCTCTGCATTTTGGATGGGATTTATTGAAGTCTGGAATCCAAGCTACTATCGGTGACGGACACAACATGAAAATAGGAGTCGACCCATGGTTACCAACAACACCTCCACGGCCACCCATTCTATTGCCAATGATAGATCATACACTTGCTGTTAGTCAATTAATTGACCAAACCAATCATCAATGGGACGAGGCAGAAATCTCAAGTTTGATAGATCCTACGGATCATCAACAAATACAGAAGATTTATCTTCCTCTGACCAGCAAGATGGATTCATACATCTGGAGCCATACCAAGGATGGCAGGTACACTGTGAAATCAGGGTACTGGAAAGCGGTTAATGATAACATTCATGATGATGACCCAAAACCCCCATTGGCTAGCAATCCTGACATTGCTACAAACGTGTGAAAGCTGGAAATCTCTCCAAAACTGAAACACTTCCTATGGAGGCTTGCATCCAAGGCGCTAGGAACCGCTAAAAATCTTCGATGCCTAAATATCAACGTCAATCCGTATTGCTCCAAATGTTGTACCAAACTCGAGACAAGTGACCATATTGTATTCTCGTGTTCAGAGATCATCCAGATATGGAGAGCGGCAGGTTATCCAACATAGTTATTAGGTGATGCGGGGAAGCCGATGGAAGATAAATTATGATGGCTTATTGACCTGTCTAAGACACAGAACGCTTCGAAAATTCATAGATTCCTTCCATTTTGGCTAATGTGGAGAATTTGGAAAGGTCGCAATGAATTAGTGTTTAATCGAATGGTAATAGACGCAAAGAACACAATAGAGCGGGCTGTAATGGATACAAAAGAGTTGATAGAGAACACTGTTGATCGAGACAGCCATCCGAAGGACTCACACCACCAAAGATCCAACAATGCGAAGTGGGAAACACCACCAAGGGGCTGGGTCAAATGCAACTACGATTCATCTCATCATGAAGGTAAAAAGTATCAGGATTATGATGGATAATCCGAAACTCAAACGGGACTTTACTACATTGCGGTATGGGTAAGTTCCAAGGACGAGCAACAGTCGAACAATCAGAGTGTACAACATTGATATGGGCATTACAATCATCATGGGGACTATGATACAAATCGTTTCAATTTGAAGGGGATAACCTCAATGTGGTTCGCCTAATAAACGACAATGAGGAACACCCCAGGCTGAGGCATTATTTCGAAACAATCTGGAGATGGAGGTCAATGTTCACATCGGTGAAATTTATGTTTCGTCATCGGAAGCATAACAAATGTGCTGATATGTTAGCAAGAAAACCAATCACTTGTAATAACAATGGAATGTTGTTTCATTCTTGTCCTACTTTTCTAGCTGATACTGTAACACTGATTTTGGTTATTAATAAAGCATTTTGAAGGAAAAAAAAGACGAAAATGTTTTACTTGTTTACTCCAGCTCTACCATTTGCTTTATATTTTTTGAGTTAATTTCATATTTATCATTCAGTCCTTATCCACAACTACATGTTTTCCTTCAGTCAGCCAAAGACCTGCTACGAGTCTATCAAACCATATACAAATTCTCTGCCAAAGCTTTGTGGCTCAACTCCACCAAAACGCTACCAACATATTCGCAAGTTTGCAAGGTCTGCCACTAAGAAAACTTAGAGATAGAGTAGTGTTCTCCTCCTGTTCTTTGGTTTGGTTTTTATGTTTAATGGTCAATATACACTGTGGAAGTCGGATTCACACACTCAAGTATTTTTATTAAGTAGGAAAGATTACTCTTGAGGGACAAAAATGAATATGTAAAAAGCTTATGAATTGCTACAAAAATTGCTATAGTATTTCTTATTCCAGAAAAAGATCCCCTTACATGGCCATTCACCCTTATATTTATACATAGAAAAATGTCAATTAAATGGCTAATTAAGTACAATTATTCTCTCTTAAATGTGTCCGTTTTAATCTTCGAGATTTAATGCTCAACGTTCAAATTTGAATTAATTCCGATCTTCGTAGGCTTCGCCCTTCAGCCTAAAGGCCCCGAACTGAAATGATCTTTAACTTCGACTTCGTCTCCTCCTCGAGGTTAAACCACTCCGATCCCTCTTCGTGGTATAACCACCTCGACTAAGTTCTTGGGCTTATAAGTCTAACGGGCCTTGTCCTCTATGGGCTTCTGTCCTGCCTATGTGGCAATCTTTGGTTGGTCCCGAACTACCCGTGCGGGATCCGACACCAACAATTAGCCCCCCAAGTCTTCCGAAGTGCTACCTCAATTCGGAAGATTTTAATGCTGAAATGACCAAAGATTGCGCTTGAGAATCTTCTGATTTCCCGCCGAAAATCTCATCACTCCTTAATTTCGGCACTAGCCATTTTTAACCGAGTGACATCTGTCATCATTATGACCGTATATTAATTAATTACTATTAAAACGGGAAAAAACCTTCCCACTTCCCACACAACTTCCGAGGCGGTTCCATCATTTAGCTTGTGTAAGGTAACTTCTTTTCATCATCATTTTCTACTTTTACTTTTGCGCTTTAATCAAAACTTCTCTCTACTTTTCTTCGCCGAACCCCTCTTCGCCGGATCTTGAATTTTTCATT